GACACTGAGCCACCAGAATAGTACTGACAACCTTATCTGGGTGGAGTCCAATCCTTCACAGAGATTAAAAAAATTCGGCCTGGGGTTCCACACATGCTGGAAGTGACCCTTCGTCACAGCTAACCTATGCCAAAACCGAAGGGAAGCATTCCTAAAGTGGCTGGCTAGAGGTAGGAAAATGATCTACAGCAGGGGGAAAACAGGACTTAGCTAGAAACTAAGCCAACACTTAACGAAGACCAAACTTGGAGCCTGTCATATCTGCATATTTTAACTCAAAGTTAAGAAGGATATAAACACCACAGAAGATCAAATTAGCAACCTAGATGATTTCATTAGAAGGACAAAACCCACAAAGATAAGATTTCGAAGAGCTAAGCTTAAGTTCTGCAATTTGGAGTTTTCAGAAATCTATTAAAATAAGATGACAAGGATCTTGACATGGAGGGTTTATAGACCACAAGCTGAGTATGAGTCAACGGTTTGTTGTGGTTTCTAATAAATTAAGGAATTGACACCAGCATCATGGAAGAAATGAGCGAGCAGGAACTGAAATGCAGGAGGCACAGGGCGGGCCTCACGAGGACAGGGTGTGGGGTCTTGGGTCACGGTTACGAGGGAGAACATTCAGGAAAGGAGCTGGACCGTAGGGAGCCTGGCTTGGACACCTCGGGTAGAGAGACCTAAACAGGAGACGTGGCGGAGGGAAATGAGAGTGGTTTTCAAGTAGTTAGAAGGTTATGAGGAAGAATAAGCATGAAAGGCTTACTTGAAACTCTGGGGGAAAATATGGAAGCAAACGGAAATGGCAAATGTCGCCAGAAAGAATGTATCATCTCAACACGACGAAGAACTTTCTAGAACGTGGAGCCAACTAACCAAATAGATGGGCACTTCCCAGGGATGGGAGCCGTCCAGACTGGCCAGACTGACCACCTGTCAGGAGACTTGTAGGGATGGTACCAGCCTTGAGAAGGGGGCTTGATGCTAATCTACTCAAGTCCAAATACAAAATCCCTCCTAAAGGCTTTTCTAACAAGTCCACTTGATGCTCCTGGTGAAAGATGATTTCCAGATCATTTTCTAACTTGGCTGTCCTTTTCCAGGGCATATGACACTGACCTTCACTGAATCTGATACACAGAGCCAAATGGGGCGCTTGAAGATAATTCCCCAGAAGCTGATAAAACTCAAAGTTTCAGTCTTTCCTCAGAGAAGCCACACTCAAGTTCTGTAAAGATACTTATTTTAGAGAAGCACAGGGAACTAGTCTCTTTTTCTTCCAGTTAAAATGCTAATTATAACACTTAGTGAGCGTTTGCTATCTATCAGACACTTGACTTGCATTACCACATCTAATACACAATTCAACATAAAGGGGTAAATTTTTTTTAAGTCTTTTTTAAATATTCATGCTTTATAGGTTAGGAGTTTGGGATAAAATATATATATATGCATGCTATACAAGTGACACTATAAATGACAAGAAACTTTCTATGGAAAGGCAACGACCCCTTAGAGATAATATTTTCTACACTTCTTTTTCTGTTCCTTTGGTTTTTGTTTGTTTGCTTTTGACTGCGGTGGGTCTTTGTCACAGTACACAGGCTTCTGCAGTTGGGGTGCATGGGCTTAGTTGCCCCTCGGCACATTGGATCTTAGTTCCCCATAAAAGATTGAACCCATGCCCCCTGCATCGGGAAGATCCCCTGGAAAAGGAAATGGCAACCCACTCCAGTATTCTTGCCTGGGAAATCCCATGGACAGAGGAGCCTGGCGGTCTACAGTTCCCAGGGTCACAAAGAATCGGACACAACCAAGCAAACGCGCACCCCTGCATTGGAAGGCAGATTCTTACCCACTAGACCACTTCTTCAGATATATGATTCTAAATGATTTTCTACCCAATCAAGCATCATTCTTACTCTGTCTACTAACTATGTTCCCAAGGCATTGAATACAGAAGTTGAAAACTAATATTAGGATATGTTACCATAAAAGTCACCAAGATTTTTGAAACGGTATACAATATCCTCCAGTGATGGATGAAGAAAGGGCCGAGAGGAAACTGTGCTTTGTAGGTGATGGCGCCGATTCTGGCTTCCAGTTGGAGGGAAGAACACTAATTAAAATATTAATAGTTGAAATGTGAGAAGCTCTAGCTTCCCCTTTGTGAACAGCATAGCACTTCTCCTATATAAATTCTCTAACATTCATGTCCATTCCCACCCCCATCTTGGACACAAAACCCTTTTCTACTTCTGTTGGTAACACGAATCTCTTTTCCATGGGCAGCAAATCTGAATAACAGCATCAGATCAGCAGCATACGGGCTCTGGAAACTGTGCACAGAATTGAGCCCCAGGGCTGAAATAAGCTACAAATTATTCCATAATCATGCTCGATCTCCCTCACTTTCGCCTTACCCCCTGCACACACAGGTTCCTTTCAAATTCAGCCCCTCCAGAGTCATGTGGATTACAATAAGTAGAAGGTAGAAAATGCCCTCATGGATCCCAAAGAGCAGTAATTTCCTCTGAAAAGGTTCATTTTGTGCTCTGTCCCACGTAACCAGCATAAAAATTTCACCAAAACAAGAGGACACAGTGGTTTTCATGAATAAGGTCCTATGCTGCCACAAAAGAATTTTATTCAATGTGACCTATTGAGTATTCAGATTCTAATAGCAATTTTACGGCCAGGAAAGTCCTTTCAAAGGGAATTCACATGAGGAGTGTGTAGGTAAAAAAGAACATCCTGAAATCAACCGAATTATCATCTAACTTGTACAGTGAGGCAAGGATGGCCAAAATCAAGTTACAAATTTTCAAATATTCCAAGTAAGTGGCTTAATTATAAGAAAGAGAAAAAGTCACTTTTTCCCATATCACTGATTCTCGCCCATGATCTTCTGAGGGTAAAAAGTAACAGTAATGGGATAAGTAATATGCTTAGACAATAAGGGGATTTGGAAAACAAGAGTCTTGGTTTGAATCCAGCCCCAACACTCAGTAACTGTGACCTGGTATCCAATTATCAGCCTTTGTAAGCCTTAGCTTCCACAGAGGGGGTACACAGTCCACATCAACTGGTTAAAATATGGATACTGCTGTAAGAATTAAGTGGACTCACATTGTAAAACGTGTTCAATGTGGTGGCATACAGTAAGGGTTCAGTAAATATTTGTTTATTGTTGTTATCATGAGAGTAGTTAAGCATTTATCATTTGCAAGATATCCAATTAATTAATAAAAAGCTATTCCAGATTCGGAAACACAATGGTTTATAAGTTATATGGAAGAATATGTTCATGAGACACAGCATGGAGATTGTTCAATAGGATACATAAAGAACTATCCATTAGTTCCCTTCCAATTTGAGAAATGAGACTACATTAAAATTAAAGTTTTGGCATAACAAAGAATACCTTTAAGAGAGTAGAAAGCAAGCGACAGGGAGGAAAAAAGACATTTGAATACATATAATTAACAAAGAGATGATGTACAAAACACGTAACAAACTGCTGTGAATCATCACAAGAAGATCAACAACTCAATGGAAAAGTAGGCAAGAGACTTAAAAACTTCACAAAAGATGATACTGAAATGGTCATTAAACCCAGAAAAATGTGCTCAACTTCACACTGATAGCTTAAAAAAAGAAAAAGATCTGACACGTGTGGACAAGGATGAGAAAGAACTGGAATTCTCCTGGGCTGCTGACGTGAGGAGGATAAATTATTTCATTCATTCTGGAAACTGACAGTATCTAGTACACCTGAATGTGTGCGTATATGCTATGACCCATCACTGACACTTCTGGGTATACACCAAAAGAAGTGCAGACAAATGTATCATGAACATAGATACAAGAGACCGATACGGGTTTGATCCCTGGGTCAGGAAAAATCCCCTGGAGTAGAAAACGACAACTGACTCCAGTATTCTTGCCTAGAAAATTCCATGGACAGAGGAGCCGGGTGGGCCACAGGTGAAATAACCTATTACTCTCTTCCATGCCTTTATTTCAACTCTTTCTTCACAGTGCACATCCTCACCAGCAATTTCACTCAGATCATCCCTGTTCTTCCTTTAACATTCACTGCCAAGGTTTACCACATCAAAAAGATCCATTGATTCCAATGTCTACCTCCCATATTATATGTGAACACCTTCAAGCATAGGAACTATGTCAAAAACTTCTTGGTATTCTCAATATCACTATGCATAGCATGCAGGAAACATGCAATAAAGGCTTGAGGACTTCCTACATTATTCTTAAATTAAAAATGGAGAAAGCTTACTAACACACTAACACCCCAAAAAGTGCATCACAACTGCCTAATTCAAAGGATTCCCTATAAAAGCAAATGTTAACCACAAAGTGATACGTAGATTAGTATTTTTTAATACAATTAACAGGCAGAATTCGATAACTTTAAGTACAAGGTTCTGAAAAAATGAGGAAGAGAAATTGGTTGGGAAGAGTCAGTCATTTCCAGGATGTCATGATTTTACTTTATGAGTAATATTAGAAGAGAACATATTATGATAAAAAATTTTGACAGCACAAATCAGGTCTAAATTAAGGAATTCATGATCCATGCTCTCAAGTGCTACACAAATCATATGAGATTTCAGTGAAAAATCCTTCAACCAACACCCCTCCTTCAGGCTTCACCAAGGAGACCTCTAAGAAAGTTCAATCACTCCTGCAACTCAGCAGGGATGTTTATTTTGTCATTCATTATGGCAACTCAACAGACACGAGCAAACTCTAGGAGATCGTGAAGGACAGGGAGGCCTGGCCTGCTGCAGCCCATGGGGTGGCAAAGAGTTGGACACGACTGAGCAACCCAACAACAGTCAGAGCACTATTGCTTCTAAAATGTGCAAAAGCTAGGACCGCCCACCCAGCGGGAAACAGGATGAAATCCATAGGCAGGAGGGGAAGGTATCTGATCAGCGACGTGAAGCGCTCTGCAAAGGAGGCCCACACACCTGGAAGAGGAAGGCATCGCCCAAGGAGTTGCTGAGGCAGAAGACGAAGTCCTTCTTGGGGTGCTCAGGGACCGCCTGCACGATGCTGTTCTCCACCCAGACGGCGTGCTTCGGGACGCTGTTGTGGTCGATCCCGGACCTGCCGTCGCCCTCGTAGAAGAAGAGTGTGCACCCTGGGAAAACAAACCAGCATCTGCGTGAGTATGTGAACATCTGCAGTGAAAACTGTGGCTTGTGTGCTGTTTACTGGGGCTGCAACTTAGCACAAACAGAGGCCGTAAGGAGAAGGGCGCTACGTGTGAACTAAGTCTTGGAAGGGCTTGTGTTAAGAGATGATCTTTCTTTTTCTCCCCCTAATTGAAGCATAGTTGATATACAATGTTAAGACTTTATTTTTTTTTCCCCCCAAGTCTTCATGGAATTTGTTACCATATTGCTTCCGTCTTATGTTTTGGTTTTTGGCCCAGAGGTACCATGGGATTCTTAGTTCTCTGACCAGGGATGGAACCCACACCGCCTGCAATGGTAGGCAAAGTCTTAACCACTGGACCACCAGGGAAGTCCCCTGTTAAGACTCTTAAATCTCAATGCCATCACGCACGCCCTCCAGTTCTTCGAGATCTTACTTTCCACTTTAGAATGTTTTGTTCCAGGTATCCTCAGAAGCATGTGGCGGGCTGAAGGCTCCTCTGACCAGTACCATGTACCATGTGCTCGGTTGCTCAGTAGTGTCTGACTCTTTGTGGTCCCAGGGGTGACTGTAAATTCAGCTCCACGGGTCCGAAGAGCAAACAGTGCCGAGTGAGGCCTGGCAGTCGGGACTGTCCCCCCTATAGCTTCCTCCCAATGTATCTCACAGGAAATGCAACCAGGAAACACCATCTATTGGGTTTCTTGACTGTGCCCTTGGCGAAAACAAAATACAACACTGACTTCAGGTGCTTTCAGGATAAGGAAAGAAATGATGGATTTTTGAGTCTCAGATCTTCTCTATAAAATGTCTTGCTAGAAATCAACCAAGGGCTTGTTCCTCCTGGAAGAACAAATACGGGACACCTGTATGAAGGCTAGAGGCCTGGGCCACACTTAATTAAACTATGAAACGAGACAGACAGCCACAGTAGAAGCCTGGCCTAGATTTGTGGCCAGCTGGGTTCCACAGATACCCTCCAACCACGGCCTGCATGTGAGGTGCACTTTATTCGCAATTACTCACTGAGGACTTACTCTCAAGTCATCAAATTCAATTTCAGGGGAGGCCTGGGCCCAACTTTCTAATTCTTTTAACTTCAACATAAGCCACTCGATCAGTTTTCAACATCTGCCTTACCACAAGCAAGGGCCGCCGCTGATGGGAATCACAAAGTCCTTCCAAGGACCACCTCTTCGGCTGCAATATGAACTTCCACAAAGCAAGTTTCTAACTGACAGTGTACAACGATGGGGATCAATGGAAAAGTCACAAAGGCCATTTTTTTCCTAGCCCTTAACATTTCACAGGACAGCTTCCTTGGTGGCTCCGCAGTAAAGAAATCTGCCCACCAATGCAGGAGATGCAGGTTTCATCCCTGGGATGAGAAGATGCCCTGGAGGAGGAAATAGCAACCCACTCCAGTATTCTTGCCTGGAAAATTCCATGGACAGAGGAGCCTGGTGGAATATAGTCCATGGGGGTGTCAAAGAGTCAGACACAACTGAGAAAATTAACCTAGTATCTCATAGGAGCACGGAACAGCTGCTGAGGGCAGCGCCTCCAGCACAAATGCACACCACACACGGGCTGGCAAGTCCTGCTGCTTCCCGTGGTACCGCCTGACCACCAACTCAGCCGAAAAGTCTACTGCGTGGTGCTCCTGAACGTCACGGTTTTATAACTGTTGTCCTTGTATCTGCAATTCAGGAGTTTCAACTCTCCCTCCAACCCATTCAAGTTATATTCACCTTTATTTCCCCCCTGAGGGCAAAGCCCTATGTTTTCTGTGACACTTATTGTTGGAAATGTATAGTGTTATGTAATTTAGTACGGTTTTATTTTGTTTTTATGTTTTGTGGGTATAAGTTACATACATATGATTTAACTATAGACCTATTACCCCAACACTATTTTTTTTAAAATAATCCCTCTTATTTTGAAGAGCTCAAGTTTCTACAGGAACACAGAGGTTACATTCAGAAACATCTGAATCTCCTCTTTTCATGTCTTAAGCTAGCATAGATTCAGAGATAGAAAAAGAAAAGAAATGGAAAGAAGAGGGTATCTTCCTTGAAATCTGAGGTTCCTGAGGTGGGGCACTTTTGCTGAATGAGGGACATTTGGTGAAGTCTGGAGACATTTCTGGTTGTCACAGCTTGGGGGCGGGGAACAGAAGCAGGTGGGTAATAAAGGGGTCCCCAACCTCCAGGATCTAAAAGATGATCTGAGGTGGGGCTGATACAACAAAAGAAATAAAGTGCACCATAAATGTAATAAATTTGAATCATCCCCAAACCATCCCTCCCACCTCCCCATAGAAAAACCCGTCTTCCACGAAATCTGATCCCTGGTGCCAAACAGGTTGGGGACCACTGACTGGACAAGGATACTGCTAAACATCCTACAATGCCCAGGACAAGCCTCATAACAAAGAATTATCCAGAAAATGTCAGCAGTCCCGATGTTGAGAAAACTTACTCTAAATAATCCTTAGGACTAATTACACTAATGATGAATAGATCCTTAACAGAAAGGAACAATGCAGCTTTACTATAGTTAGAACAGAAACCGAAGCCTGTGTACAATGGATACGCAACGTCCACACACTGAACACCTGATGTCTCCCCAGTGCTGTTTCTACCATTTTTCAACGTTAGTTTACAATCGCCCACGACAGTGGGTGGTTGAAAATCAGCTTCTCCTCAATTATTGACATGTCCCAACTTTAAGACTAACGTGAAACAGCAAGTCTGGGTACCACGCTCTCCCTGGTAACAGCTTCTTTACCTTCATCTTGAACATAATCTGTTTGCTTTTCAGTCATGGGTGGAGACACTCCAGAGTCTAATTCTAAATAAAACTTTTGAAAAATTAATTATTCTATCAAAAGTGAAAGAATCTTTGAAGAATTCTCTAGCCCAAGGTTTCCAGGGGCCCTGTTTTTTATTTCTCCATCTCCAAGCCCAAGTCAGCAGTGAGCCCTGCCTGTGAGTGGCAGGGACAAGCCCCGAGTCTGTTGATCTATAACGGGACCCGTCAGGAGCCAGAAGGAAAAGACTCGGCAGCTGTGTGTTCCAGGCTGGATCCTGACAGACTGTGTCACTCAGATCTGGGTCACCACGGAAATGCAGGCTTCCTCCTCTAATGGGCGTGTGGGCTGGGCTCCGGAGCGCCCACATCCTGCCTTCCTTGATCATTTATTCTCTAAAGGGACAGCAGGAACAAAACAGCCCCCGCTTCCATGTCCCAAGTAAAAAAAAAAATCACCTAATTATTTTTATTCTGTGCCATTAACAGTGCTATTCTCAAATTCAGTCTAAGCATCACCTGGGAACTTTGTTTAAACCACAGATTCAGGGCCTGTCATGGGCTGAATCCTATCCCCTCAGGTTCCTAGGCTGAAGTCACAGTCCAGGGCCTCAGAATTTCACTCTATTGGGAGATAAGGGCTTTACCGAGGTAATTAAAATAAATGGAGGTTGTTCCAGTGGGCGCTAAGCCACTGTGACCGCTGTCTTTATAAGAAGGAGGAATTTGGACATAGACAGGTACAGACAGAGGACAGAACACCAAACCTGCTGACACCCTGACCTCAGACGTCTAGGCTCCAGGACTGTGAGACAATCCATTTCTCTTGTTGAAGCCACCCAGTCTGTGGTACTTGGTTATAGCAGGTCCTATACAGGGATTAATACAGGGCCCCAACTCCAATACTTTGGCCACCTGATGCAAAGAACCAACTCATTAGAAAACACCCTGATGCTGGGAAAGATTGAAGGCAGGAGGAGAGGGGGACGACAGAGGTTGAGACAGTTGGATGGCATCACCGATTCGATGGACATGAGTTTGAGTGCACTCTGGGAGTTGGTGATGGACAGGGAGGCCTGGCATGCTGCAGTTCATGGGGTCGCAAAGAGTCAGACACGACTGAGCGACTGAACTGAACTGAACCACCCTCAGACTCTAAGATTCAGCAGGTATGGATATAACCCAGGAAGCGACTCAGGCGACTGTGATGCAGGTGGACTTCTAATCATGTTGTTAAAAACTCAACATTAAGTAATAAAATGAAAGATCGGACAGGCTGCTAAAGGGAACCGAGGCTGCGGGGTCCAGGGCTGGGGCCCTTTGGGGAGGAGCAGAAGGTGGAAGAAGGGGTCTTTCTCCCTCAAGTCACCTCATCCCACCCCCCACGGCAGGACAGTGGATATGATCCAGGGCCCCGCAGACACGACCCGATGGTGCCTTCAAACTAAGCTGAGGCAGGTCTCACGTGAGAAAGAACGGTAGCAGGTCTCCAAAAGGCTCCCACAGGAAGAACAACTGTGTTTCACAAGCAGGACCATGACATCAAATGGCCTTTTCGCAATTCACAGCGGAAAATGAAAAGCAAAGCGTGCTCTGTGTATCAATCGAAAAAATTAGCTTAAATCCAACGTTCCTGTGTTTCGAACACCGATACTTCACATCTGCGTTCAAAATTCTATATGCACTTTATGTAGATCATAGTATGGTATCCGATTTTGCATAGACAACAAAATTTAAAGTTTAAGATCAATATTTTCTCAGGTTTTCCACAGAAGATAGTATGGGTACCAGAATTCCACCTCTGTTCAAACTTTGAAACCACTAAGGCAGACTTTCAGAATGAGAAGAGGATATGAGGAAAGAACCTGTGGCTGACTCACATCAGTGTATGGCAAAAACCACCACAATATTGTAAAGCAATTATCCTCCAATTAAAATAAATTAATCAAAAAAAAAAAAGGAAGAAGAAGACCCTGACTCTTTCCAAGACACCCTTAGAAGTGGAGCAACAAGATGTAATAAACAAACAAGTCTTAAAAACTAAAGACAGCATCCTATGATAAACATGCAGGAACATTAGACACACAGCCCTTGGCAGAAAGGAGGGGAACCTGCCCTGCGCTGGCTGACAAGTGTAAAGACACCTCTATGAGACAGCTGGTTGCTCCCCAACACGCCCGACCTCCTTTCCTCTACAGCAACAGCAACCCCAGCGTTCGGCTGGGCCCATTCCTGCCTCCCTTGCAGCTAGGTTGGACTCATTTCTGGCCCACGCAGTGGAAGCAGAAGAGATTCAGCCAACTTCCAGGCTGTACTCTCAGTGCAGAGGGATTCGCCCTCCACACTGCCATATTTCCACTGGAACTGGACCTGCTGGTGAGCTCTCCTGATCGTTCAGATGAAAACAGTGCTCTAGGGACAGTTAAGCAGTAAGACAAAAGGAACCCTAGCTTCTGGAGGACTTCACAGCAGAGTCACCCCATCACCCTTAGATGGCCTACCTCTGCTAGGTGGGAGGGAACTCAAGTCCTGTCCTGCTTGAGGCATTGTCAGTATACATCTCTGTGACATGCATCAAGACCCATAGCCCAATTAACATGCTCCCTCCTTGTTTCGCCAGGTATTGAAGCAATAGCAGGCACCAAGAGTAATGCAACCCATCCAAACCCTGCACATCAATGAACAGAGCTCTAGGCTGCTGTGTGCCTCCAGGACTGGTTATTCCACACCATCCACAGGTGATAAAACCCAGTATCAGATGGTGTAATGGGTGCACCACACCAGGTAAGCCCACGCTTCTTTCTCTGGGACCCATCCTTCATGCTTAGTAACCTCTCTAACCTCTCCTGCCAAACATTAACCTGCTTTAAACCCAGCTTCTGTTAAGGATTCTAAGTGGGCTTGAGAAGTGTTTTTCTTTTAAGACACGGAGCTCACAAATATGTTACAATTTCTACACCATCAAGACATGCAGAGACATAAGCAAAAACATACGCACATACTTCTAAGATGTATGCAAAACAATAAAGAATAGCAACACATCAAAGCATCGTGCTTATCAATGAAAAGCAGTGCACATATATATATGTCCATGTATATATGTATACACACACACTCAAATATTCAAAGTGTGATGGCAAAACAGTGACTTTTTCACAAACATAGATGGCTCAGACATCCCATTAAACACTGGGTTAAATTCTATGAAATTAACAATATTCTATCATTCTTTATGAAAAAAAAAAGGCAATTTCATAATATTCAAACTACTGACTTTTCCCTCCAAAAGAGTTACTTACCCTGGGAGGCACATTTTTTGGGATGATTTCAAAAAAATATTTTTTGGAACTCAAGGCACTGAAACTGTCATCAGAACCAGCTGTACATAAGAAAACAAGGCGTGAGAGGCTCTAATAGCTTAAATGTGAAAAAGTAAAGACTGTAAAACATTGGCGGGAAAAGGAAATGGGGAGTGACTGTCAAGGGACATACAGTTTCAGCTCAATAAGATGATTATGTTCTAGAGAGTGTTGTACAACTGTGTACCCTAGCCACCTACACTGTAACATACACCTAAAAACATGCTAAGAGGGTAACGTGTGTGCGCGCTCAGTCACGTCTGACTCTTCGTGACCCCATGGACTACAGCCCACTAGGCTCCTCTGTCCATGGGGTTCTCCAGGCAAGAACACTGGAGTGGGTTGACACTTTCTCCTCCAGGGGCTCTTCCCCACCCAGGGATCAAACCCGTGTCTCCCGGGTCTCCTGTACTGGCAGGAAGATTCTTTACTACTGTGCCACCTGGGAAGCCCAGGAGAGCAGGTCTCACGTTAGGTACTCTCACCACCATAAAACAACAATTCTGAAATGAGCATGCAGTAGAAATCCCGTGTAATTAAAAACCATCCCGTGTAAGGGGTACCACGGAGCAGAGGTTACCCAGTACGGCAGGAAGGATGCTCTCTCTCTCTCTCACCTTTCAAGGACACCCAGTAGTGCTTCCACTTCCTCCGCGTGGCGGACTCCACCTTCTTGTTCTTCTTGTGCACCAGGAAGTTCTTGACGGCCAGGGCGCCGGCCTTGCGCACGGTGCCCTGGGCGGCCGTGAGCAGGATGTCGGACTGGCCCGGGGAGCTCAGCGTGCCGCTGCTCTGCTCGTCACTGTGCGCGGAGCCCGCCTCCTCCAGGCTCTCGCTGTTCGTGGTGCTCATCTCCAGCTCCCGGCGAAAATTCTCATACACCCCCTGGCGGGCCGCGTCCCCGGTGGAGCTGCTGCCGCTGTCGCTGCCCACAAAGGCACGGCCGGCGGGGGGCGAGTAGCTGGAGTTCGTGGCATTGGATCGCCGGGACAGGAGGTCCGTGTCGGTGGTGGCCCCTTCGATCCCGCTGTCGGCAAACTCGCTACCCTCGCCCGCGTTAACATCCTTGGGGGCCGAAAGGGAGAAGAGAGAAGACATGCGTCATGAGAGAAGTAATCCAGGGGCTCCTGTCACTCCAGCCGGGGGCTGCGGCAACCTGCAGCGTGTCACTGCTCCCCACCTTGCAGGGACCAATTACCCCTCAACCCCCCAACCCCCTCAAACCCAACTTGCCTGCTGAGCAGCTCAGGAAAACCACGAAGCCACCCCAGTATGAATGTCAACAACTGGGAACATTCAAAACACACACACACACACAAAGCAAGAAACATTGCAAAGAACTTATCAATGATCTGACTCAGATAATTAAGTAATGGGCAAATCAGCTATTCAGAGTCCCCCGCCACTGCCCTGCTGAGTAAACTCAGCACTCTGGCCCTCATCAGCCAGCTTGGCACTCCAGGAAATTCTGCTCACTGATCAGGTAGTTTATTCCGGAGGGAGGGGCTTCCAAGGGAATAATGAGGTCTGTGTAGCTCATACTTAAAAAAAAAAAAGAAACAAATAAATAAAAGGCTGAGTTAGGAGTCTAATTTATGACCTGGTGACTAGAAAGATAACTAGCACACCACCCCACCCACTCACCCAGCAAGGACCCAGAGCCCAGGAGCAGGGGAGAGCCCTCATGCTCCAATCAGCTTTGTTTCTTGAAAACAAGCAGCTTCTCACTCTGCACTTGAGCTGAACAAGTCTGTGGGGCCCACGGCTCCAGTGCAGACTCTCCAATTACCCTGCCCTTTCAAAGCTGGGATGCGAGGAGCCTGAGCAAGCTACTCACTGCCCCGGGGGGCAGGTGGCAGCTCGGGGCAACTGCCAAGATATGGGGGGTATCCATCCCTTGGTTAAAAAAATTTGGAACTTCCAAAGTGCTGGCCCTGGTCTCAGGCTCGATGGGACACAAACAGGTCTGTTCTTAAATCAGAATCTGGATTGCTCTGAAGTGCTAAAGGCATTTCCACAAACAATAATTAAAGAAGGGTAGTCCTCTATGGAGAATAATGACAGCAGGATTCAACAGGACAGCTCAACAGTCTCAGGGATAAGAAATGGGACTGGTTTTTCTCCAAGGGAAAGGCTGGGAACGTGAAACTGACATGCAAGTAATACGTGGTCTGGAGACTTAACTGTGTTTTAAGCCTTTAGTCTCATAAATAGTTCATTACAGTTTGAAAATGTAAAAGCTAACAGGATATTCCAATTGCCATATAAATGATTTGAATGCTGTGCTTTCAAATCTCTGCTGCCAGGTAATGGGGCAGAATGAACCAAGCCACAAACTATTGGGTTGGCCAAAAAGTTAATTCAGGGTTTTCATACGATGCTACAGAAACACCAGAGCAAACTTTTCAGCAAACCAACCCAAAAATATCGTCCTGAATGAGGCCCAAACAGGTGTTGGGCCCACATCTCTGCACATCTCATGTCATCAATTCTAAGTTAAGGCTCTCAGAGTTCACCTTCATCACGAATAGATCCTAAGTTAGCAATTAAAAGACGGGCAGAGCCAGACATGAAAACCATCATGGGCTGCACAGACAGACAGACACTGTAGGATTCACTTCTATGTGGAATGCAAAAACGTCAAACCCATAGAATCAGAGAGTAGAATGATAGCTGACAGACTAGGGGACTAGAGGGAATGGGGAGATACTGGTCAAGGTTACACACTTTCAGTTACAAGACCAATTAAGTTCTGGGGATTTGATATACAGCCAGATGACTCTAGTTAATGACACTGTATTGCATCCTTGAAATTTGCTAGGAGGATAGACCTATAAGTATTCTCACCACTGAAAAAAAAAAAAAAGGAAGGAAGGAAGGGAGGGAGGGAGGAAGGAAGAGAGGAGTAATTACTTCAGTGATAGATGTGTTAATTAACTTGATTGTGGCAATCATTTCACAATACATACATACATTAAGCTCCGGGAGATGGTGATGGACAGGGAAGCCTGGTGTGCTGCAGTCCATGGGGTCACAAAGAGTCTGACACAACGGAGTAACTGAACTGAACTGAAACCAGCACAGTGAACATCTTCAAAACCACAAAAACACACAAGGAAGTAGAGTGTGCAAAGCACAGAAACTTGCAGTGGAGACAGCGGCCAGAACCACCTGGACCAAGTGTTCAAAGTGAAGTGAGCGCAGGGTGCACGGGAACCCTGCGTACTATGTTTGCAGCGTGTCCTTGACTCTAACACTGATCTAAAATAAAAAGTTTATTTAAAAAAAAGAAGAAACAAGGGGGAGGTAAGACGGGAAGACAGTAGCAGGAAGTGCTGAAGCAAATTTCTAAGGACCAGTGACGCTTGCTCGGAGTTTAGGTCCCTGGGGTACAGAGGGACTTAAGAGGGTCAAAGAAACCATGCATACAGCTAAGATGCAGACCCTGTAACTGTTGGTCCTGCCATTTTCCTACCTGCTGTCCTGCCTGTTATCCACCACCAACAGTCATCAAGGACGAAGATTTGGAAGGTATGTGATATATATATATATTGTGCCGTTGAGTGAGCACGCATACTCAGTCGCTTCAGTCATGTCCAGCTCTTTGTGACCCCATGGAGGCCATGTGGCTCCTCTGCCCATGGGATTTTTTTTTTGCAAGAATACTGGAGTGTGTTACCATGCCCTCCTCCAGCGGATCTTCCCAACCCAGGGATCCAGTAGGTAAAAAAACTCCCCGATACAAACAGGAGAGCGCTGTTACCAACCCACGTTTTTCCCTGGCAGGATGGTTTACCATATATCCCTTTAGATAACAACAAGTAAAGTCAGTCATCACTGATTATTCAAGATAACCATGGGTGGCGGGAGACGAGGAGTTTGTATGAATCTACCCAGTATCTGGACTCGTTTTCACATCTCAGTCCTTCTCTGGGAGAAGGGACAAAAATCAGCTAAAAATTTGCCTCAAAATTGAAAAATGATGAGCTAGCTGCTTCTTTGTAAGACGGGGAATGATCAGCTGCACAGGGATAACCTCCCTGGGTCATAAGAAAAAGAGTTCAGAACAAAAAAGGAGAAATTGATAGCAGGCACCTGATAATTTCCAGAGCTGGGGAACAGGAAGGAACCTTGCAAAACCATCCCCTTGGGGAACGCCTGGGGATGCTGAGGCTCAGAAAGTTACAGGCCTGGTGTGTGGCAGATTGGAGGTGAGAGTCCATGCCTCCAATGTCCTCTTCTACTCCAACAAGCTGGCCCCACGGCTCAGCTGCAGGGAGCACCTGATTGGGTCCTGTCTCAATAGTCAACACCACGCCTTCCCCACTGTTTGCCAACAGTGCCTCTTCCAGGGTTTCCCAACAAAACTGAGTGACTGGGCATCTGTATGCCGTGACTTTCTGGCAAAGAGCTCAAACTCAAAAGTGATGGGAAGGGGAAAGAGGAGATGAAAGAATCTGAGTGAAACAAGCAGAGAATGGACAGGCATGTCTCTTAACATCCCTTAACATCTACTGGGTTTAGCTGCTCAATCATGTCTTTGAGACTCTTTGCAACCCCGTGGACTGCAGCCCGCCAGGCTCCTCTGTCCAAGGGATTCTCCAGGCAAGAATACTGGAGTGGGTTGTCACTCCCCTCTGCACTTAACATCTGCTACATCCCCACAAACCATGAACCCCTACAGAATGCCCTGATGTCCCTACTGGAACTAAGAGTTAAGGACTCGATAGGCACGCCCCTCTTTTTCATACTGACACACGTGCTCATGCCACCTCATGCTGCAACTCTGCAGCGGCTCAGGCTGCGCATGTCCAACTCTGGGACAGTCACTGAACTGAGCAGTGATTTCTCCAGGTAACAGGCCTGCTGGCCCCAGATGAGCTGGCATACTTTGGGAGAGTAACCACCGGGGAACGCTCGCCATCTGTGACCCAAGCCAGCTACATCTTGTCTCCACAAGGAGTTAAGCAGGCTCAGTGGTACACATCCTCCTTCTGATATGTGACTCAGCCTGCCCAAAAAGAAACAAAAGCTGCCTGCCCAGCCCCAGCCTCTATTTAACCATGAAGCATGGGATGCTTCCAAATACCCAGAAACCCTTGCTCCAGCACCGTGGGAAATGATGTCCACCCAGCTGGAGGCATTACTCAAGACCTGAATGGTCAATAGGACTCCACATCCCCTACATCAGCCATCTCCAACTTCAGTACAGGAGTCATCTACCATGGGGCTGTTTTATCCAGCTTGCTCCTTGTTAGAAGAGCTATGACAAAACTAGACAGCATATTAAAAAGCAGAGACATCACTTTGCTTTTCCAGTAGTCATGTGTGGATGTGAGAGTTGAACCAAAAAGAAGGCTGAGTGCCAAAGGATTGATGCTTTCAAACTGTGGTGCTGAAGAAGACTCCTGAGAGTCCCTTGGACTGCAAAGAGCTCAAACCAGTGAGTATTCATTGGAAGAACTGATGCTGAAGCTAAAGCTCCAATACTTTGGCCACCAGGTGCAAAGAGCCAACTCACTGGAAAGACCCTGATGCTGAGAAAGATTGAAGGCAGGAGGAGAAGGGGAGGACAGAGGATGAGACGACTGGATGGCATCACTGACTCAATGGACATGAGTTTGAGTAAGCTCCGGGAGATGGTGAAGGACAGGGAAGCCTAGAGTGCTGCAGTCCATGGGGTTGGACACCACTTAGCGATTGAACAACAAACAACGAAGTGCCACACAACAGTTAGAGGCCTACAGGTCACAGAATCTCTAGAAGAAACCAAAGTCAGATATACGGATGTAGAGGCTCTAGGGTCACACACTGAAAGACCGCCCTGAGGCTGCATCCCAAACGCCCAATCTTCTCAAATGCCAGGTGCATACCACTGCCAGGCAGTTTCCAATAGCTCAGAAGAAAGATAGCATCACTGCGATGCAAACAATCCCAGTGCATTTTTCCAAAGGGCTCCTCCTACTACTACCTCCCTCTCAAGGACTCTTCAGACCTGAGAAACCTGATTCTCCCCACACTCAAAAGTGCCTGGGAACCACCCCCACTCTTTTAGGGGTCAACCTCAGGGAAAAGTTCCGTGGGAGCCCAACAGTCTTCATTGTCAATGCAAGGTATGTCCCTTCTTATCTAGTTAGACACCTTAGTATACAATCAGTCCTAGAATATCAAACCAAATATACTGAAATTTAAAGCAAAAGTCAGAGGAGATCAAGGGAAATAGTAAGATCCTAGCTAAACAGAGAAGTAACTCCCAGCATGATGCATGATCTGGCCAGAGATTTCCTGAAAATAGCTCAAAATAAACTCCCCGTGTTAGAACCACTCCACTGAAGAGGCTTCCAATTATAAATAACATTCATGGAATATAGAGGCTCTTAAGCCCTGTTCTTCCTGGATGAATCCTCCCAGGCCGGATTTTTCAAACACTCACCAGCTTCCATTCCACCGGCCGAAATCAACGCACGCACTTTCCCACTGGATGTACAAGTGGCCAGCTGTCGCCCAAAACATTCAACAGCGGGAGTTTTCTTAGTCATTTCAGCTGGGCAACAAAGCTTAAGTGAGCTCTGGTACTAAAGCAGAGGCGGCAAGAGGCAAATTCAAAGCCTGTTTGCACGGCCTTGAAAATTGGAGGGTCCCCGAGCATGAACATGGGCTAATGACACATTGTGGCAAAGCTCACATCGTTTCCACCAGGGTCTCAAATACCCCAAGGAACAGGTTTGCTGTGCTGATGATGTGTGGACACAATTCTGAAGAGATCATTAACCACAAAGTCCAAGGGAACAAGTCAGGCGATTTAAGTCGAATGCAATTAGAAACTGTTATGTTGGTCACTTTCTTTAATTTCCCTGATAAACCCAGCTTGGCGTCAATACACCTGTATAGAGGTGGTAAATCCAGCAGAGGAGAGCTCACGGAATCCCAGTGATGGGAGGAGATGCTGACCTGTGGTGGTGCTGGTGGCAGTTCAGTCGCCCAGTCATGTCCAACTCTGGTGACCCCATGGATTGTAGCCCGCCAGGCTCCTCTCTCCTCTGTTCACAGGTTTCCCAGGCAAGAGTACTGGAGTGGGCTGCCATTTCCTTCTCCAGGGGATCTTCCCAACCCAGGGATCGAACCCAGGTCTCCAGCATTGGCAGGCAGATTCTTTCCTGACCATATGATCTATGATCAAGCAATCCCATTCCTGGGCATATATCTGTGGACCTGTGGAAACCTTGAACTAGAACAATTTATGACTTACTAAATTCTGAAATATTCCTCCTGTGGTTTACCATCTTCTTCTCCCCCAAATCTGAGTACCCCCACTCCCCATACATGCATACATGTGCACACTGTCTTTGGTTTCCAACACTCTCTCCATGATATATCTCAGTACAGCAAATATCATGTCCAGGCATGTCTTTCTGAACCTATCCATGCCTCAGTTTCCTCACCTGTATAATAGGAATGGCAATAATATCTACTTTGTAAGACACATTGTAAGATGTGATATAGAGTTAAGTCCCTTTTCTAGAACTCTGCCCAGCACACACAGCACTTGTACAGGAGTGTTAACCGTCATCGCGGTTGTGTCCATCTCAGCCCAAGGAGGGAAGTCACTGCCTGACCTCACTTGCTAGCTTCCTGCACTAACACAGAAGAAAGTGTGTTGCTGAGGAATGTGGGAAAAACACAGCCTCATGGGGGAAAAGACAGGCAGACCAAGGTTGGTGTGAGCCAATGCAATCCCTCTGAATCATGTTCACATTCATAACACTGCACAATAAACTAAGAAAATGATGCTTCCGATGCTGTAAGTAATTGCTAGGCACTGTTATAATAATCACCTTTCTTGATCTACAGAAATATTGCACTCTCCGTTTTCCATTATTGTAAGATCTTTATTTCCCCTCTATATAAACAAATGTCCAGTGCCTTTCTGAGTTCGTGATTCTGAAGTTCATCAATTTCAGCCCCTGGGCCTCCTACTCTTCACCCCTTCACATGTGTCCCAGCTCCGTCTGAGACATTTCTAAACACCAGCTCCATTTCCCACTTCTTCCTTTCCCAAGGCAGAGACTCCATGCCCTTCCAAGCTTCCAGCACTCAGTCCCATCCTTGCTAATGATTCCCCACAGGGGTGACTCAAAATTTCTCTCAATTACAACCGCTGGAAGTGAAGTTCTTACTGCTGCTCACAAGGGACTCAGAAGCTGTCTAAAGCTTGAAATGTTGCTCCAGGTAACTTCAGATTGGAGTCAGCACTGTGCTGAGGTCAGTGAATCATCTTCTCTCCTTTCATCTGTTTTTCTACGTGTGTGTCTCAGACCCTGTTGTCGCTCCCCACCACCCCACCTCTCATCTCAGGACATATCACATCTCCAGTCATTAACTCTCTTTTCTAACCACCTTCCTCCCAACAAGCCATGCTGTAGGGTAAGTCTCCCAGGAGCAAGGTGGAGGGCTCCTGAGGCTGTCCATCAAGGTCCTCCGCTGACGTCCAGCCTTAGCACCGGACCTTTGGAGGCACCCTGCCACCAGTGAAACTGGAGAGCTCCTGCCAGTATGCTCCCAGCCCTTCTTGGGTCTAGGAATTCCAGGAATACTGATCCTTCAAGGCTCAGCTGGAAGCCTTCTTTTAATCTTTGATCCCCATGAAACTTCTCAACACCCACCCCACCACTACCCCAGCCACACTGGCCTCTTTGCTCTTTCTCAGAAGTGCAGGGCATGACCCCAGCTTCCAAATCCATGGTCGACTCCCATCTCCCCTCCCAATCCCTACCCAAGCCTGCCCTTCCTGGGGGGCCCGACCCGACCACGTGCTCCAGAGTTGTCACCAGGTCCGCCACCGCCCGCTTCTCCCCATCTTGCTCTCTTTCTCCCACAGCATGCCCTGTATACTCATCATGCTGATCGTTTGCTGCGGACACACCCGCACTTCACCCCTGAGCTCAGAGATCTTTTCCTGACACTCCCAAGAGCCAAGAACAGTGCCTGGCACGGCAAAGGCAGTAAAAAAAAAAAAAACACCACACTGTTGAACAACTTCACTGCTGTTCATCTTCCACACTCCTCTCACAACAAGAAAATCATTCCTCATGGAATACACTTGAGTTTGATTTATAGATCTAGTCATTTGCAGGCTCAGCTCACGCTCGACTCCAGCTAAAGTCACAACCAGGAAGCCT